TTCTGAATGAGTTGGAAACAACGGAGTGCTTAAGATAGTCAGAGGATATGGCTATTTTCAGTTTGGGGCATATAGCTTCATCATGCAAAGATCCATTTATTGCTGAATTTTCAAAACTATAGTCTTCAGAAGGAGTCACCAATTATCTGCTATCAAGATGTTTCACATGACAGTTCTATTTTGTTTAATGATTATGTTTGCTTTGAATTAGAGTTATTCATGCCATTGGAAAAGCAATATATGTAAACAGAGAAAATAATTAACACAATCTTGTTGTTCTTCAAAGGTACATAACAATTCAATAGCAATAAAATATACACTTTTCAAACACTTATTGTGGTTAATTGAGGTATACTGTGTTGATACAAAGGACCATATCATTGTTTCTGATAGCCCTATTTGAGACCAGATAACTTTACAACAATAAAATGTTTACCCTAACATATTATTATTTTTACTATATCCGTGAGATCACAAAAATACCATTTGAAGAACAATTTGTTGCTTCATTACATGTGAATGTTTCACTTGATTTTTCACCATAACATCTGCGCAAAAGGCTATGTGACCAAAACCCACAGTCAAACAAAGTGGTGGACCTACACGTGGCTATGTTTTTGGTTGATTTAAACCCACGTGAAAGTTTGGATCCAAATGTAGAGTAAATTCTAACAAAATCTCCAGAAATGAAGGCCTGAGCACATTGGCTGTTTACTTTCTACTCAAGTGCCATTTAATCATTGCATTAGATTATGTCAGAACAAGGTAAAATAATGGTCACAATAACTTTTTCCCATCAGCCAAATGTAAACATATTTGAGCTTTTCGGGGCTTTTTATGCACAAACTAGAAAACATAAAAACAGGTTAATGAAATAACACCTAATGTCAACCATTTTCCAAATGTAATTTCTGAATCTTTAAGCGTTTTTATTCATATTTCTCAGTCATTGAGGTCTTTTCTTTTCACTATGGAATAATGCCTAAAATCACCACAGAGAATCTCACATCCACATTTTTTCCAGTGATAATGAACATGACAAGAACATTCAGTTAATGGGTTGTTTTTGTGTATGTTTCAAGTCAATGAAAATGTAGATTTCCATATCTAAGGAGACCCTATTATAAATATATGTATATTTGTATGTGCTGGTGTTATTATTGCTCTCTGCAGTCTTCTTTTTTTAAATAAACCAACCATAGGCGCTAAGCAAACCCAGCAACATCTGTGTACAAGGAATGTTCTGTGATGTTAAAGACGGCAGGGCTGGTTGATGTGGTTCACTGAACTTCTGGTTTGCCAAATCTAGAGTGAGGTTTGGAAGAATTCATGTTATGTGGATATTCTCCGTTCAGGTGCCATTAAATTGCACTAGAAGACGATACAACTAGATCACGTCATTAAAATACTAATTAAATAGTACCAGTTGTATTTCAACAATTTCATCAGTGTCTTCCAAAGCAATTACAAATTACAATTATATAAACATGTCTTGATCTGCAATTTATATGGTTAATTTACAATGAACAATGTCAAAGTGTTAAATCCAAAGAACTAATCCTGTAGCAGTATTGTTCGCACTAGAGATCATAATAATTTGTATGTAAATAAACATCAAACCAAGTTATTTGTATTGAGACTAGTGCCTCTTTTATTTTAAATAACATTGGGTGCAGTTCAAATTTAAACCAACAGCCTGGCCTAAGCTAATGAAATGTAAAAGAGAAAGCACTTTCCTATAGTGCGGTTGGTAGAGGTGATTGTATTTCTACTGAGTGGGCACATTAAGCAAATCGTTTTAAGGCCAATTTAACGAAAGAGAACCTGACTTTACATATTTGCATGTACAGTAGTGCCTGCTTGAGATTCCAACACATCTTCCTCACAAGAGACATTTTGAAGGAAAAGCAAGTGTGCACAAAATATTTTACTAATCACCAATGATGGCTATGTTCCACTTAGGTGTGCCAGTAAATCAATAAAGTAGACCATGTAAGTGAGCCAGCATTGACCGTGGTGGGTTTGTACACACCATTATAGTGAAGGAGTGCAATTTCTTTCCCCTGTATACTGAAAAAATAAAGTGTGCCTTGGACCTTGAAACAGGAAAAAATAATACAGTGAATACAACTTTTAAACCAGTGGCATTATGTCTATTGTGACATATATGTGTTGATTTATTAAAACTAAATCATTTGTATGTTCTCTCTTTTTTACTTTAAGTCTTTAAAAAAGCAAATGATATAGCCTTTTTGAAATAGCATATGGCATATTTGACTGACCAGTTAACCATACAAAGTCTCATGTTTCTTGTTGTCCTGAATTGTATCCTATAGCGGTCAGGACTGAGGAAAGGCTGTGAAATCCACTGTAAACTGTAAATTCTCTGAGGTCAGCTAAAGTACCCTGTTGGCAGATGGCACTTTTCTTTCTGATTAGACTTCTGACCCGGATGAAGAAGGGTGAGCCAATAAAAATGATAAAGGTGTAAGGTCTCTCACCCTAACAGGTGTGACAAAAGCAATAGGTTCACAGTGTTGTTAACCGAGCATAGTCTGAACAAACCCACAGGCCCTCAGGAGGGGACTTATCAGGCACAGTAAGTGAAAATGTCTGTGGGGGTGAGCCAAGGGCCTTTAACAAGAGAGAGAAAGGAAAAGAAAAGGGCAAGAGAGGCAACAGTGCAACACAACAACAAGGGAAATAGACATTTAGATAGAAACCAAATAGAAGGTAACAGCAGAAGACATTAACAAATGGGCTTGTAGCCAGCAGTGAGCTTTTGGTTTGGCAAACACAACATGTATTCAATAGTAAGAACGTCAGTCTGTTAGCTGGATCAATTTAAAGGGCAAGCTTAATACAATACAATTCAAAGACATTGTCAATGTCACACCCATTTAATCTCTTTTGCAATGACTTATCTCATCTCTGGCTTGGTGAAACTTATTTATGATTGAATAAAATGTATATTACAGTTAGCTATTTGTTCACTTTGAATCAAGGGCTATGACAAAGGAGCCTCATTTACTTTACATGAAACCCATTAGTGGACTATTCAATCATCCAATGGCAAAGAACATGGGTTTGTGTTTGTCCCTTGTGGGGCACTTAAAGTTTGCTCACTATAAGCTCATTTTTCCCATATGTAATTCATATAGCACTCACATGTGCATGTTGACTAGGCATTTGGTGAATATGAGTACTTTATTAGTTTAAGATTAATTCTTCACATGTTAGCAGTAATGCAATACATATTAGCTGTACCAGTTACATACATTCTATTACGTTACATAACATTTAAAAAATACACGTTAAAACTGTAGACATGCAGTCTACAGTTTCACAGTAGTGAAATGTATGTAAGTTTCCTTTTGGAATTTTGGACAGGTCTGGGGATCAAACCACAGACCCTATTGGTAGATGCCCATTTCCCCCCCGAGCCACATCCTCCCTTGTTTTCTACAAGGAGGAAGCTGTAATGAACATATTGCTTTTTTTTCACACATACTTTTTTTTCCCTTGTATTTTTTTATTACATTTATCATTTTGGTGTCCAAAAACCCTGCAAACTCAATTGACCTCAGGATTGGAAGTACCTTTGTGTAATATGGTTCTGCAATAGGAAGTCAGCCAAGAGGTAATGGAAAGTGAAAGAGAGGTGGGGATCTGGGAGGAGACTTTAAGAAAGGTTGTGGTAGCTGTTCTCTCTCTCTCCTCTGACCGAGTCTTCCCCTGTCTTTAAATCCTCTGCCAGCATACTGCAACCCTCTCTGCCATGTCCATATTTCTGTTTTCCAATCCCAGCATAGTGCTCAGGTTGTTATTTTCTACGACCCAGCCTTGTGGTCGGTGGGTCCATGTTTGCGCTGCAAAATGAACCAGATCCGCAGAAAACATACTATGTTGCATGGTACAAGAAGAAAACTCACAAAAGCATTTTACAGGAAAGAGGAGGAGGATAGAATACGTGGAGGCTGTGGAGAGGAACATAGAGATGTGGTGATTTCACAAGGCAGTCATATACAGCATGTGCCAACTCAACATTTCAACACAGTCTTTTCACTGGACATTATATGGACTTTTTGAAAGAGTCCTTCTAATTTGTAGAAACACATATTTTTAGGACACTTTTGAAAACTAAATGGTTCATCTCAAGGGGTGTATCCTAAATAGAACAGTTCAGGTAACATGTAGTACTATTGTACACACAGTAAACAGTGATAAAAGCTGTGTATGCTTTTACTTAAATAATCACTCACATCCTTATTATAACAAAGAGTAACTTTACACTAGCATACAACCTTGTTTTAGCTAATTTCACACTTTTATACTTATGTACACTTATGTTTTTTAACAATTATTTGTTAGTGCACTGTGTGAACTGACACTGCAAAGAGCAATTTTTGTTTTTTGAGAACACAAATGCTACAGCTTTGAAGATTTCAACAAAATAATAATTTTCAGCTCGTTGTTAAACTACTTTTCCAAGGCCCTTTTTGATGAAATACTTAATGGAACCACACTGTTTGCATAAACTAGGAAGTATAATATAATGTTTGTCAAATCAGAAACATTCTGCAAACTCTAATAAACTACATTACCACATTAAGACCATGGTTTTAAATGCAGGTAAGGTTTGGGAGTTACTCAAATTGTTCCTGTCATGATTCCTGTGTTGGAAATACAATACAAATTTGAAGCTTCCATACTGGCCCCTAGAGGACAAAATGTGCATTACAAGCAGGGATACTACTGTCCATGATTTTTCTACATGTAGAGCTTCATCACTAATGGGGCTAAACGTTATCAGTTTTAAAAATACAGACCCATCACATTTCTTACAATTCTTGCCATTCATTAAAAACATACTGTCAGTTGGAAACATGTGCCTGATGGGAGTGAGAGAAAAGTTCTTAGGTCGTTGAATTCTTTGTTGTTTTCTGCACTAATTAATCCAGGTTGGACTGGACCCAGGTTGACCGCTCTTCTAAGGAGCCATGTTGCTGTGGTCATTATGGAGTGCAATATTGCTACTGACCCCCCTGGAGGCTGCAGAGGAGGATGATGTGCAAGCAGGTAAAGTGTTCATTGTGAAAACAAAAGGAACTAGCAATACTGACCATTTTATTAGTAAGATATATCAAGATAACTGAAACTTAAAGCAGGAGAAGATACTGACCATTAGTATGAAGTGTGGATTTTCAGTGTATGTGTTTGTATTTGTCTTTGATAGCTGCACATGTGTGTATTTATGTGTGTAGGCTGCAGCACAGCTGTAAATGACCTTGTCTATATTGTTGATGGCTCGTGGAGTGTTGGCACCTCAGACTTTGAGACGGCCAAGCAGTGGCTTATCAACATCACCAGCCAATTTGATATCAGTTCCCACTACACGCAGGTAATATAAACCACATTATATTGTTTGTGCTAAGAAGATATTGCAATTTCCAATTGTATTTAGTAGCAATCTTTTAATTAAACTTGTAGAGTTTGCACTTTGATATTCCCATTGATATAATCTGAAATGTTACCCTGTCAAATCAAGAACATCGCCTTTTTTATGTGTCAACAGCTTTTATAAAAAATATATAATTCCAGCATTTTTTGGCTGATTCCAATAGCTTCACTACTCCTAGATTGGATTTGTTTTATATCTGCTGTAGGTGGCTGTGATCCAGTACAGCGACACTCCTCGTCTGGAGATTTCTCTGGGGATACACCAGGGTGGAGCAGAGCTCATCGAGGCCATACAAGGCATCACCTACCTTGGAGGAAACACACAGGCAGGAGAGCATTTTTTCTCTTTACAACTCTCGCACTTTTATTAACATTCAGGTATTATGAAAAGAAAACTATTTCAGACTGTGGGGTACTTATTGCTGATCATTGCACAGCTAAAAAAAAAGCCCCCTACTATTCATTGGAGAAAGACACACAATTTTGTGAAAAGCAAAAATACAGTATTTTTCTATGCTGGCTCTAGCCAAAAGGAGCAACTGAACATGCTAAAATGCTAACACTTGCACTTCTCTTCGAGGCAGGACTAGATAGCAATTTGGCTAGGTAGCATGTAGCCTTGTTAGACTGCTGTATGGTGACTGAGCAGGTTGTGATAAAAAACTACTGACATGAAAAGTAATGGCATGAAATAAAATGCAGCATTATAAAATGTTAAATTAAGATAACACTAATAACACACATTCAATTAAGTGTTAGCAAGAGAAATGCAATTGTATAATAAAAAAGCACAAAAACAAATTATGAACAAATAAAAGTACATTTTTTAATAAAAAAAGGCTTAGGCTATTACTCAACACAATAAATGTGATTAATATAGTATAGAATATTTGTAAATTCTCTATTATCCAACACTTTGGGTTCTATGCATGGCCTGGTTGCTTGGTGTTGAAATAGAATTTAGGCACCTTACATGCAGAAGAATGACTTAAATGTAGGCTTCTGTGAAACTCTTTATTTCTGCCAGTATTCCATCCAAAAATACAAAACTAATAAAGTTGAGCAGGCTGGTTTTGGAGAGGCACACTTAGGCCGGTCCAAATGTACCAACATTCAGTTACTACAGGTGCATCTGCAGCAACATGACCACACAGCAACACCACAACACAGATTTATAGGGTTCACAATTCCAATTGAGGTTTAAAAAAAAGCTCTTGTATGCCTTTATATAATTTAATTTGTACTCTGGTGTATTGCAGCTGTCAATGGCTAGAAACATCATTCCTCATGTCGTTTTTTATTCACTGCACCAGGTCCTCACTGTTTTCTGTCTTGCAGACTGGCAGGGCTATCAAGTTTGCTGTGGACCACGTTTTCTCCTCCTCCCAAAGAGCCAGCCAGGTCAAGAACCGCATCGCTGTGGTGGTCACAGATGGCAAATCTCAGGATGACGTGGTAAATGTCACTTTGCCATGCTTGAGTGAAACCAACAGTAAAGTGCCTTTGGGTGGCCCTAAATCATAGTGGCAGAGTCAAGGGGGCTTGAGATGTATCACAGTGTGAAAAAAAGATTGACAGCACCTGCCCCATTCAAATAACCTCAACAAGTAAACACTTTCTGGCTCTGTGTATCCACATTGTTTATCATATTATGGTTTTATGTAGGTTCTTCCAGCATTAACTGTCTTTCAAGGGTTAAAATGAAAATCCTGTTTACCACGGAGGGCTCGTTTTCACCAGGTTGCCTGTGTTTCTTCAGGTGGATGCAAGTGTGGAGGCACGAGCAGAGGGCGTTACAGTATTTGCTGTTGGAGTTGGCAGTGAGATCACCACGTCGGAGCTGGTATCCATTGCCAATCGACCATCATCTGCCTATGTCTTGTATGCTGAGGATTACACCACCATTGACCGTATTCGAGACAACATGGAGCAGAAGTTGTGTGAAGGTTGGGATATGTAGTTTATCTCTTTTAATGGCATGTTTATCCAGCATTTGCTCAATTCTCCTGGCTGTCGAGTTGCAAAGTTTGAAGGACATCTGATTTGGGAAGTGTTTTTTCCTATTTTGTGTTCTCATTTCAACTATTTCTTGACCTCAATGTTAGAAACACACATCAGTCATAAAGGTTGATGGTTCTCCTTTAATTTTAATTGAAAAGGAATTGTACTTCTTGAACCAGGGGTGACTGAAAGTTGAGTGATTATGGGACTAAGATGCAAAGGGTTTTTCAAGGGTTGAATACTAATGTTCTTATACTCACCATACAAAAACACAATAGCTTGGGTCTCCTCTTTCCTTCCTTGCAATACAAAAAAGTGTCAATAAGCCTTGTCAAATTATTTCAATTACCAGCATACAATACATTTTTTAAACTTTAGGTCAACTAGTTTTAATTTCTCAATGAACATGGAAAGCAGAATGTAATTGCTGACATTATGCCATGTGATAGCCAATAAAAGACAGGTGTACTTTATAATATTAATAGGGCTGCATCAATTTAGTTGTGCCTGTTGCAATGACTGTTTCATTTTTGAAATACTACCGTGCAACCAACCCCAGTTCATAAAAGTGGAAAATATGTGCCTTAAAATTGCACTTTTCTAATGATGGCCTAAGGGGCCAATTCACCTGGCTGTAATAATCATTTTAACCAAAATGATTTCAACATTTCAGTTGCTTGAAAGATTATTGACATCAAGCTTTTATACTTTTTTTACCCTCTTGTGTCACTGCTGGTTACAAAAACACAAGATGGCTGCAACATAAATTCAACATAGGGAGCTTCACCAATAGCTGACTAGGGTCACTATGTCCTGTTCTTATACAACATTATTATTACTGTTAAGCTAAGCCTGCACTTGTGTTTTTCCTCCGAACATTGGATACAGTATATTGTTTTGTTGTATGAAATTCAGTAAATTAAGCTTAAGTTTTAAATTCAACACCAAAAAATACAAAACATTGTTTTTCTCAGAGAGGAACAAAACAATACACTACCAAATAATGCAGTTGTCCCAAAAACGCTTTTTCTTTCATGTCTATACCTACATAAATAATTTACTAATTTATTTCTAGAGTCTGTGTGTCCAACTCGAATCCCGGTGGCATCTCGGGATGAGAAAGGCTTTGAGCTGCTGCTGGGCATGAACATTCAGAAGAAGGCCAAGAAGAGCCCAGGCTCTCTGATTTCTGAGGCAGCCTATTCCCTTACTGCCTCCACAGACATTACTGAGAATACCAGGTACACTGTTGTCTTAAAGTCACGAGGGTCTTAAACATCTGTCACATTTCATAATTTTTTTATTTCATTTAAAGCACTATCATTTCTATTTCATTGTTGGACTTCCTCTTTGCACTAGGGATATTTTCCCAGAAGGCCTCCCTCCATCCTATGTGTTTGTCGTAACCCTGCGTCTAAAGGGGTCTTCCAGCAAGCTGACATTCGACCTTTGGAGGGTGCTGTCTAAGGATAAGGAGATCCAGGCTGCAGTGACACTAAGTGGGAATGACAAAAGTGTTACATTCACCACCACCAGTCGGACAGAAAATTGGCAGAGAATCACCTTTAAAAACGGCTTTCAGGTTGGGATAGAGTTTCATGCTTTTACCAGATCAAAATGACTTTCGGCTGTGCTTTGACTTCCAAGTACTAACAAATGCTCCTTTTCCAAGATGACTAAGTTTCAAAATGCAATATGTCTTTCTGTCAGCTGGTAAATCCGATATAGTTGAAGACAAATGTCTCAACGGTTTGCATGTGTTCAGCCTGGTTCATAGCATAATGTTTATAAATATTATAAACCCTTATAATTGAAATGACTCGGCCAAATGTAAAAAACAAAATGCATATCTCTAAATTACATTACTGTACTTTTTCTCAATCAAAACATTTTGTCCATATGTTAGAATACTCTGTCTCAGTTAATCTATAACTTTATAAATAACTTCATCAATTGAAGCTTTTTTGCATTGAGAATCAACTCAGTTAATGCAGTTGCTTAAAAATGCCCAATAAAAATAACTTCACAATAACAAAAATATCATCATTTATATGAATAAGGGGAAAAAACATAAATGTCATTTACTGGTATTTTCCTGCCCCTGAAAGCACACATTGTGCTATAAGAGTGTACTCTGTCTCTTCCAATCTTGGGTTTCCCTTTATGTTGGTGCCTGTGAACGAATGTGACTGGGATGACTTGTGAAGAGCCAAACTCGCAATTATTTAAGCATCATCCCCTGTTCAGCTCAATACAGCTACACATATGAAGATGTAATGTGGTGGAAGCCAACAAGAGGCTCAAAGAAAACATTTCCTACTCTAAACCACAGTCCCCAGTGGAAACTAGTTGGTGGATGTGTAGTTCTTGGAGAACATGTGTCTGCTTCCATGGCAGCTCAATGTAATAGTACATCCTGGTGGACACGCCAGGTTGTTTTTTTCCAAAAGACACCCTCCACCCTTGCACACCTAGATTTCAGTATAGAACATTGAACAGGGTTGTACTTATGTTCAACTTGTGTTTGCACATGTTTGATTTGATGTGGTTTGATGTGGCTCAAGGTAGAAACCTGTGATTTCTCTTTTGGAAATAATGGTTGTGGCTAACTCCCAATGAAACAATAGCTGCTCTGTCTCTCTCTACTAGATGGTGAGGGCATCTAGGAAACATTGTGATGGAAAAAGAAATACATTTTTACTCTTAATAACTTCCAAGTCAACACTATTTGTAGAGCATTTATGGAACTGACCAAATTAGAAAGATATACACATACGCCTGCCAACAGAATGGAAGGCTGAGTGAAAGAAGATTTGACAAGTTAATACATGTTTTCACATTGCCTGAAAAAACTCTCAGTTAATGCATGTTCATATTTGAGAAACCCCTTCTAAAAACAAAAGTGTTTTTGTATTCATTTTTGTGCCTTCTTTCAGAATCTGTATGACGGAAAGTGGCATCAACTTAAAGTTCTGGTGAGACCAAGCCAGGTCACAAGTTTCCTTGACGATCAACCAATTCAGGAAATTATGCTGGAACCAGGGGAGCCAATTTACATCAATGGAAAGACACAGGTGGCAAAGAGACGAGGAACAGACATCACTGTGCCTGTGAGTAATAACACCACAACTGAGGCGGAAAATAAAATAAATTATTGAAAAATATTTGACACCAATTTCAGGTGAACCCTTACAAAAATACAGTAGTTAAAAAAAAGTAATAGTAAAAGAGTTATGACAATTACATCTAACTATTTTCTTCCATCAGGAGGAAAACCCATTGAAAACTATCATAGAAAAGCATACATAGGATATTAAGCACATTTAACCCTTGTATGGTGTTCGGGTCTGTGGGACCCGTTTTCATTCAGAAAAATGATATGATAAATTATTTTTTCAAACTCACACTCATGGCCTTGGCGCATTTTCTGTGAAGAACATATATCAGAACACATTTTCAATGACAACGCACTGTACACCCTTTGTTTGTGTGTGTGTGTGTGTGTGTGTGTGTGTGTGTGTGTGTGTGTGTGTGTGTGTGTGTGTGTGTGTGTGTGTGTGTGTGTGTGTGTGTGTGTGTGTGTGTGTGTGTGTGTGTGTGTGTGTGTGTGTGTGTGTGTGTGTGTGTGTGTGTGTGTGTGTAGTGTAGTAGGTAGTAGTACGTACGT